ATTTTAAGCAATTATAAAAAAATATAAAAAAAAATATTCTAGCAGGTATATTTAGCTGCTGGACGGTTTAAGGGATAGTATTTAAAAATTAAACCTTTGATCATACATATACAAAAAGTTTCTAAATCGATATACTTACCAAAATCACAAGTACTTATTGATGAAATAGTTATTAGATTTAGAAGAAAAAGCAGCCATACAGTGCGAATTAAAAATAAACCTACATCTGAAGGATACAAAATACTTTCTTTATATAATTCAGGATATACTTATTGTTTTGTTCTTACTTCCCATATTGAATTAATTGAATCTAACTCTGAAATTACTCCAATTTCAAATATTAACAAAATTGGTTGGCAGGTTTATCATTTGGTATCTTAACTTTCAAAAAACAAAACATTTGATATTTACATAAATAATTTTTTTACTAGTATTAACCTATTTAGTCATATGTGAAAAAACAGATATGGTGGTTGTGGAATAGTAAGAACTAATACTTCAAAATTTTCTTCTTGCTTAAAAATAAAAAAATCACAAAAATTCGAATGGAATAATCTTTCTGGAGCAGTTGTAAATATTATTTTAGGTGTGTTTTGAATAGATAATAGTCCTGTGACCATGTTAATGACTATACATAAAATTTTAGATGAGGAATTTTAAGTAAAACAAGAAAGAAGAAGGCCACAAACAACTAGTACAAATGCAGTAAAAGTTTGTAATGTATTTGGTAATGCAAGTAAGAAAGTTCTTCCTATACCTGCTGTAATAGATGATTACAACTATAATATGGGTGGTGTTGATATTGCCAATCAATTAAGGGTTATTATGCAATACAAGTTCCTGTACATTGCACTTGGATGCCATTATTTTTTTGGCTTCTAGATACCAGCATTGTTAATACTTTCTTAATTTCAAAAAATCTTAATTTGATAATGATGCACAAAGATTTCAGAATAAATTGGCATAAAATTTGGTAGAAGAATCACTTAAAATGAGTCAAATTAGCCAACAATTAAATACACTGACAAAAAAAACAACATTTCAGTTAGAATTACAAAATGATCAACAAAGACCATTTTATGTTACAAAAAAATTTGAGTTACCTGTTGAACGATTATTACCACAAAGTCATTACCCAGTATATCGTAAACAAAGAGGTTCCTGTATTTGGTGCAGGTTTAAAAATATGGCTGAGCAAGGGAAACAAAAAAAAAAATTCACCACAAAGCCAGGTGTGGTGCACAACATGTAATGTGCCGTTATGTCTTAATAAGCAGCGTCCAGATTGTTTTATTGAGCATCATGAATGTAAATAACAAAATAAATAGTTTTTATATTGTTGTATAAAGTTTTGTACCATGTTTACTATTATTTTGTCATGGTTGTAATATAAGCGAGCATCGAAAAATTTCGGGGCAAATTTGCCCCAATTGACAAACGGTTTAAGGGATAACATTTATAACAATTTTAACAGATAAATTTTGACTAGATTAATTTTATTTGCTGTATACTATATATATTTTTACATTGTTTCAGTAATAACGAGAGTCAATATTTGAACATGCAACTCGTTAGGAAGAATTTAAATCATTTTGAAAATTTTGAAAATGTGGTCTACTTCCCCGTGTACCAGGAACGGAGTGTATGGTTATCTGAAGAGTTAAATGATGTGTGCTAATGCGAACATCTGATTGGTAGATATTCTTATCTGGCTCGTGATATATGCAGACTTATACTTGTTATTAAGACCTACTACTACGTAAATACTCACTTCAAACTGGTTTATGATATAATATATGTCTGATCCGCGTATGTCTTATTTAGGAGTGAAAAGTACTTTGTACGTACTGTACTACTTTTACATTATATCATGCTTTCCGAGCTAGAAAGAACCAATATTATCAACAATGATGTCAATATTTATATTATTTCCATTGAAATTATTGTGATTTTAGTTCAGCTTTGTTAACATGGCTAACTCATTTTACGATAAAAAATAATCATTCCTGATTATTTAATTAACTGACACCTCATACAAGTCGTTAATCATGTTATATAGTTTCATCGGTAGCCTATAAATAACGATAAAAACTAGTCTGGCTTTAATAACCATGTTAAGAAAAGTGGCTTAAACATCAATTTTTAAAAAATTTATACAACTACTAGCTTAACATTTTTTTTAAAGCTACTATTTAACCAAACTTAATATTTTTTTTGGAATTTCTATAACTATATATAATTAAAATAATTAATATTAAATTTAAAAAAAATTTGGTTAGAAATAATTTGCTTTTCTACTGACCCCATATATTGCAAATTAAATTTAAAAGTTTGTAAACGAAAATTTATTAATATTGTTTATACTGTATTACTCATTATTTCTAACTAAATTAATTAATATTTTTATATATTACTATAAACTTAATTCTAAAAAAGATATTTATAAAAATTCTAAATATATACCTCACAAATATAAACCTCCGTTCCTGGTTTTGCATAACAGTCACCTTATTTTAAATAAATTTGTTTGCAACACATAATTTTGGTATTATTTTATACAAAGCCAGGGCCATTACGAATTTAAATTAACGTTAAAGTTAGGGCCTGTATGGGCTAATATTAAAGGTTTCAGTATGCAAAATCGTCTCCTAGACATTTTTTCTTAATGCACTAAGATAGGTTTAGACATTGGTTTCTTGTATTTTTCGCATTATTTACTTTCTTGTAAACAACAATTGGAGATTTTGATTGGTCGTGCATAACGGGAGATCTCGTGATGGAACTGACCTTAAGCGACCCCAAAAATATGACCCGATGCCACAAGATTAAAGACTTTTATTTTAACGTACATACGTACGCACGAATCTGTGCATTATACGATTCGTAAATTCGAAGTCTAACTGCAATAAATGATTTGGATAATAGTCATGAAACCATGGCAGAATTTGACTCAGTCTAACTGATCAGACAAAATAAAAATCTGTTTCAATACTAATACTATTTTAGCAAAAGAAGTTTATTTTGAATATACAAAACAAATTATACAACCGATATAAAATAATTATTATTAGCTGTTACAATAGCCTTTTCCTTTATTCTAAATAGAATTTCAATCTTCAATAAACCAAAAATCCTTTCCCTTAATCTTCTCCTTTTCCTGTTCCCAAATAAATTTACAGTTTTCGTCTGACAAATTTTCATATCCATATTCAGGTATTTTTTTGGAAGATGATTTTGAATTCATTTTTTCGAATTTTTCTTCCAATGATTTCGTGATAGATGGATCGTCTTTAAAACAAATGTATTTTGCTCTTAATTTATCCTTGAACCTGAAGTCTATCTCATTAGCGTTTAAGGCTCTTTCATAAAGAGCAAAATCATGAATATAATCAACTTGATATTTATATATACTTGTACTACTTTTCACTGCATCCGAAACAGCTTCACTTTATTAAAAGAATTAGAGGTTAGCCAAAAATTAATAGTAAGAATAAAGTACAATACTATAATATTAAGGACATACCCCATGAATGTTATTATTACATTTTGTAATACAAGTACAAAAAGCAAACTGCCAAATACACCAATTAGAGTAAGTGGCCAAGAATTCCATGCAGCAAATGAAATTGAAGACCAATTATATACTGCAAGTATAGAACCAAAAAAACTTGAAAATGGATTATCAGATTCCGAAGAGTCAACTAGTCCAACGTAATATGAATAACCAAGTAGAATAAACCTAATATACATAATTAATATTGATATTTTAAAATTTTATATTATAAAAATCATAGATGAATAAATTAAGCATAAAACTCACAATGCATGTCCCTAAAATGCAGCATGATTATTAAAGTATGATGTTAACACGAAGAAATTTTAAAAAATTCATCTAAAGATAATAATTGTTACCGCTGCAACGATAGTTAGTAGAAAGAATAAAAAAAATTGTCGTATTTCCTTAATAATATTAATGAGTACATAAAGATACAGCGCAAATCCTAAGTTTTATATAATAGTTATACATAAAGATAATCATCAGTCAAGCATAAAGATAATCATCAGTCAAGAATTATTATTAACCAACACAGTACCTTCGATTATACGTAATAGTAGAATCTAATAGCAGAATTAATAGTTAAAAGACAAAATAAAAAGAATTTGTGATTTTAAATATTAAATATCAGAGATGATGCTGACATTAAAAATTGAAAATTTTAATGTAATTGTTTGGGTGCGTATTTTTTTTAATTTTTTTATTGTTATGTTAGGGTAAGGGTTAATTTCGATAATAAGTGTACATTATTGGATAGTTAATATGACCATGTGAAGTTTTTTCTGTGATATTTTGCAAAACTGATTACGTAATTTCATGTAAAAAATATCATGGCAAAAAAATTCACATGATCATATGAAATGTCGAATAAAAAGGTATACCGGGTGTCCCAAAAGCCGTTCAACAGTCCGTTTTTGTTTATAAAGATCATGATAATAATTATTACGTCACACTAATAATTTGCATAAATAATCATTAAAACAAGCAGCAATATAGTGAACAGTGTAGTCCTTCGACAACACCTAGGCCTAGTGGTTCTTGAGAATCTTTAAAAAACGTTTCGCCGACATTCATTATCATGATCTATAAAAAAAACAGGGACTGTTGAGTGACTTTTGGAACACCCGGTATATGTGGTTTAGTAGGGTCTATATTTCAAATAATGATCCTAATTTTCAGCATCAGCCGTGACATTTAAAGAAATGTATACTTACAAAATCGAGCCAAATAACAAAAATACTGAAAAAAATAACTACTGTAAACATTAGACTGCCTTCGGCGTTTTTAAATCCGTCCTCTAATTTATAATAACGAATAAAAAGATAAACAAAAATACCCAATGAAATACAAAGTGATGAAAGCTCTATTAAAGTAAAACGATCCAAAAAATAGTCGAGTTTGTTTTTATAGTGATGGTATTGGTTAATTTCAGCAATTATATGATATATTGTTAAATAAAATAATAACATTATGACCATAAACATCAGAATATGTGAAATCACACCAGTTATTTGAACATGAGCAATATATGCCCAAGAAAAAATTGAATAGGTTATAAGGTATAAGACAAAACAAATCAGAGATTCAAACCAAAAGGTTCTAGAAGAATACCACATCCAATTCATGACTGCATTCATGGATGGGTTTTCACTTAAAACATTATAGAAATCATCATCTTTTATTATTTTATTAAAGGGACTGCAATTCCCTTCGACGTAATACTTGCTACTAATAGCAGGAAAAATTAATATGTTTCGAAATATCCTTCTTCTCTCCCTTATATTTTTTATGGCCGATACATCCGGTAGCATTTTCGTTGTTGTAAAATTTGGTAAAGGTACCATTCGAATTTCATCAATTTTATCAGAGCTAATTTTATCAGCTCTGTAGCAAATTTAAAGTAAAATTGAATTAATTATCATAAACAACAGGCTTAATGTAAATTAATATTTTCATACTCAATCTCTTGAAGATCCAATTCAGTATCTTGTGGAACCAACTGTGTTATAGGTATAAAAACCTTCAACAAGCCATCTAATTTCGGTGAAATTTCAAGAAAGTCAAAAGAGAATATATCCAATTTTTTCTTCCAAAAGCACGGGTGACTAAATAACTTTTGAGCATAATATTCTATTTACGGAAGTTAATATTATAAAAGGTATAAATATATGTGTTAGTATGATAAATTTATATCACAAATTTAATTAATATCATCACCTCTTTCTTTTTCTGTTTTCTCTTTACGACTCTTAAATAACTTCGATACAATATTTTCAATATCCTTTTTACTACTCTTAAATAACTTCGATACGATATTTTCCATCGTCTCTTTATAAATATTAGATAATTTCGATACGATATTTTCGATCTTCTCTTTACAACTCTTAGATAACTTCTTCTCCTCAACATCTTTACTACTCTTATTATCATTTTCCTCCTCCTTATATAATTCCGGTATGATATCTACAACTGTATTCATCCATCCAATATTATTAATTGCATTATTAGAATAGTATTCTAACAAAAGTTTTAACATGGTATGATCTTTGGGCACGTAAGTAAAATGTTAATATTAATGTGACAGTACATTTCGAATAGTCTATATAATTTTAAGTAGTATACAGACCTGAAAGAGCATTACGGATCGTATTAAAAGAATGAGGTATATGAACCAATTCACTAAAAGATAAAATTCCATTTACAAGGTCATATTCTTTTGCATCAATAAGAATACTCATTAAATCATAGTGAATATCTAACAACCGCCAGGTAGTCGGATGCAATTTAATAAATCTCCAAATTATTTTTCGTGTTTGTTCAATGATATTATCGAATTTTTTTTTTTCAACATCATTAAGAAAAAGATGTTCAAATTTTTTATAAACAGAAAAATATTTAAGTGCGCAACAAGCATATTTTGCTACACTCATAAGATCATTTTCATCTTCCATTTTAATTTCTACAGTTTCATTTGAATCAGCATCATCAAGTGCTTTCGTTTTGTCAAATATTTCAAATTTTGAAGTGTTACGTTTAGTGATTTCCATTTTGAATTTTCCGATTTTATCCTCAATATACAACTTGTTTACATTAATCTGTGACAAATATTCATAAACAAACAGAACCTTCATATCAGTTGAGATATTACGGTGAGATGATGAATGAGATATAGGTACATAAATGAATTCAAGCGATTTTTCTTTTTCTAAATCATAATTGTACCAAACTTGAATTGTATGATTTCCAATTAAAAGCAGTTGTTTTTTTGGTTCATTAAGATATAACGAATATAATGCAGATCTAGCTTTTTCATTAAGTAACCATGGTTCAATGTTTTTCGGGGAATCATTGCATAATTCTTTTGACTTCCAATCTTCTTTTTTTACTTCTTTTAGATACCTATGTATATCATAAATTACTGGTTGGTCATCCTTATTATAATTGACTATTAAGTTATTTGATATTTTTGCACCACTATTTAATTGAAATTCTGGATCTTTAAATTTAATAGAACTTCGAAAAATGCTGTATATATTCCAAACAAACCATTTTGGCTTAGGTTTATCAGGGTTAGGTTTATCAGGGTTAGGTTCAGGTTTATCTTTTGAATAATATACAAATAACGTCGTCCCAATCTTATCATCGTGAAAAAAATCAATAAATATCTTTGCTTCGCCTTGCCATAATTCATCGAATTCATCGAATTCATCGTCTTCGTCTTTGTCAAAAATATTTTCAAGCTGTGCTATTTCAAGACCGCATTCTGTTAAATATAATTTGATTCCTTTAAT